AACAACTTTTGAATAAGAAGAGATTGGGCTTTCATATGAAATGTGTGTATGCCTGTGACAAGACCTTCCTTAATACACTTTGATTTTTGACTTCATGACCTTGATCTTGAATTTGACCTACTTTTCTAAAACGTTAACCTTGGTCATAAGAGATAGGGCTTTCATATTACATATATATATTACCTGAGACAAGACCTTTTTAAATACATTATGATTTTTGACCCCGTTACCTTGAAGTTTGACCTACTTTTCAAAAACGTTAACCATGTTCATATGTTTTGAATGAGAAGAGATAGGGATTTCATATCAAAGATGTATATTACCTGTGAGAAGACTAATGCTTGATTTTTTACCCTGTGACCTTCACCTTGAAGTGTGACCTATTTTTCCAAAAATTAAAAACAAATTTGAATTGGCCATTTCTTTTGAATGAGAAGAGATACACTAAATACACTATGATTTTTGACCTCATGACCTTGGGCCAAAACTTTTGAATGAGAAGAGATAGAGCTTTCATATAAAACATTTTTATATGTGACAAGACCTTTCCGAGCATATTATGATCTGGACCCCTAGACCTTGACCTTCATGATTGGTCTAATTTAAAAAAAAATCAACTTTGTTGATTACTTCTTAATAACATATATGATAGGGCGTTCATATTTGATGCAATATGTACAAAAAATGACATCTCACCCACAAAGACACAGAAAGCGGGGGACCACAATTCTTTGAATTTGCTTCTTTGTACTTATACTAAGCCTTATTTTGATTCCATCTATAGAAGGGGCTAATGGTAACAACAAACTGCATGTCTGTTAAAACATTCGATACATCTTGCAAAACTTTGTTCGAGAATTTTGCTTTGTCGGTTTGTCTATACTTGGAGGTTCGTTTCTCCAATATTATATATATGTCACCCAATAAAAATATTTCCGCTTCAGATTTCTCTTATTACAGCTAATTGGAGTTACAAAATACTAGTATCGTGACTGTATCACTGTTACCGTATACACTATACATGTACGTTTTTTATTTCTTCCTACATGTAATATCTCGACATTTTCCCGAGGCAAATTTAATTTTGCTCACAATTACATTGTTACATGTATAGTGTACTTGTTATATGATCTTTCTTTGTCTGCATTTTATGTATTCTTATCTTCTCCTAACAACAATGTTAGTTTTATAATTTAGAGAGTAAAGTCATTAATGATAATGCAATTAACACGATTGTGAAAATCGCACTTCTGGTCTCTATTATTTTTTAAATTTTATTCTTTGCAGGTTTCCAATTTTAGATTTTTCGAGCATTCTTTTTTAATATTGATATATTGCAAGGCGTATTTCGAATAAAGTGCACCAAAAGAAATTATGTTTTCTGTCACAAATAATTCACTATAAAAAGTCGTGAGCTTTGGTTTCTTCATGCATTTCCACGCGTGTATTGAAATTTTCAAATAATTTTAAAGCTAATAATAGGTTTATTTTGATTCTACTGATAAAGTACCAATCAGATATTATATTTATATCGTACTGTCACGTGCTGCTGGAGGGCCAGATAGAAACACGATGTGTTTGTGAAACTCTATGCGCCCGGCGGCAACAAAGTTCGAAGAAAGGTATTTTTAGCATATAGGTCACAGTCAAGGTCACAAGGTTATTGACCTTAAAATCATCTGAAAGTGCTTAATTAATGTAGTATGCATACCAAATATGACGTCTCTATCTTCTATGGTTCAAAAGTCATAGCGAACGTTCAAAAAAGCTATGTTTAGCATATAGGTTACAGTCAAGGTCACAAGGTCATTGATCTTGATGTCATTTGAAAAAACTAAATTAGTGGAATGTGCACACCAGATATGAAGTATCTATCTCTCAGGCTTTAAAAGTTATGACACAGGTTAAAGTTGACAACAGACAGACAAACAGACAGGACAAAACAATATACGCCCCGGATCTATCGATTCGGGCATATAAATGAAAAAAATCAATCAGATATGTTGGATGCGGCTAAATTTTCCTCAAATCTATCTATGAATGGGTGTGATCATTTATGCTGTGTGATATGTCATCAGAGGAACTTCAGATAAACTAACATCCTACTGTTATGAACACTGAAAAGAATAAGACAGGATGATTGGTGAGATGTTATTAAACTGTTGTACTCTGTCGCACACTATATCAGCATTAGTTTGACCATGTCGCTCCTAAAGGTACAGCTAAACACAATTTTCTCGAACACCAAAATTTCGAATATCTTTGATATGTCATCAGGAGGAAGTTCCTTGTCGTTTTTTTTTTTCTCATCTACAAAGCTCATAAAATCCCCCCTTTTTTGAGATCTATAGTATCCCCCTCTTTTGTGACTTTTCATAAAGTACAACCATCTACAAATAGGAGGATGTGTGTTTGTCCTTGTCTGTTTGCTAGTCAGGACCTGTAGCTGTCTAACATAGTATAGCGATGTGTTTTGAATCCGTGCTGTACGTCATATAGGTAGTTGTTTGCATCTCGGTTATCCCTACTGTTGTTGACCATGACCTGATCAGGGTGCTTACAAACAACTGGAGTCAAAAACACATTTACGTTTCTGTTTTATTTGTATCCCCTTTGTAGTACTTAAAAATCGCAATCTTGATTAGTTAGTATGTACGCGACTTCAAACATTAGAGCCTTCGCTCATGAAGCTTTTCTTCAATGTTTAATTGAAGAAAGTCGTTCGCGATCATGATAAGCATAAACAGGGTGAAAAAGATCATATCCTCCCCAACGCTACCTATACTACATTTCAACTTTCATTTAAGCACACAGAGATCATAGGCCCCCACTTTTTTTTTTGCAAAGATAAACATTATATAGGCATTGAAAATTCGGGTTTACCTTTTTCTGTTGGTTTACATGTACCCCCCCTTTCAATTAGCCCCCACACTTTTAATTTACTTCAAGTAGCATTATCTGTCAGAAACGAATACTACTCATCATTGGTTATCGTTATATACCTTTAAAAATATGTCCTTCATAATTCTATACTAAAAAAATCTAATATATATATTTTTTCAAAGTTTTACTGAGCGGGCATAAAAAAATCGATGTTTGACCGCAGAATGAGATGTTGGACCAGTCGGCGAGATGTTAGACAGCTGACGTCACAGGGTGGGCGGGGTCAGCTATATCTTATATGCATTCGTATCTTATCTTATAGGCACTTCAGTTCGTCAGTACTGCAGTGCGGATAAACGATTTTTTTTCTCATAATAAAAAAAAGTAACATGTATGATGAAAAAAAATCATTGACTGTGTTCTGGGGCAAAATCCGTTTGTTTTGTCGACCCCTCGAACTAAACTATTTGCAACAGTTTGGTTCTTGGGTCCGACAAAAGGCATGTTGCCCTCGAGTCTATGCATTCAACAAATTTATAGTCATTAATAATGTAGATTTGAATATTCCTTTCTAAAGAATATTGAAATGAAATCATCTCATGTATAACAAGTATACTTGTACTAGTATGATATCCTGGCATCCAGCTATCCCAAACAATGTTGAATAACTGCCTTATTTTTACTGCAGGATGAAGACTATCTGTATTTGTTACTTTCTAATTGTTGTCCACATCATTGTGACGTCAGCTGATGAATGGAGAGCTTCCGATAAACTCAAAATAGAACTTGCCAGGAAAAAATTTGAGAGTTCGTTAACCTTTTCTGCAGAGAAACGACGAAGTGAAGGCAGTAATATGACAAACTTTGGGTTTATGACATACAAGAAAAAGTCTTTTGAGCGTCCTGTCTGCAGGGGGATATGTAACCTCTGTAGTAGTCATGAAAACGGAGGTCTATCGATAGGTGACAAATGTCAGTTATATTGCAGTACTTATGGGGGACGGAACAGCTATTTTTACTACCAGTGTCGATACATAGTGAATCACAAATAAAGATGGTGGAAATCAAATGGACTCAATCTGAAAAATATATAGCAATGTTCATAAAAATTTTACAATAAAATTTTAATGATTTTTTAAAGCTACTAATGCTTCTGAATATTATGCTTCTTTTTTCCTAACAAAATTCTTTTTTTGGTTTCAGTACGCATTATGTGCAAACAAGTATTGTTTGCATTTTCTGTGAATATGATATCAGGGAAGTATCGTATCCAAGGATCATTTCTGATTTTAAGGCTTGCTGTAATATTTTAATACGGTTAAAGTGAAACAAAATGTACTGAAAACAACACTCATAAAAATTTCTTTTTTTTTTAAATTAAAGAATAGTGAAGAAATTAAATACATTGAATTCTGTATATCTTAAGTTTCCCACACACAATAAAAGCTCTGAAAATGCAAGGACAAAATATGTTAAACAATTAAGTAACAAAGAAAACCATTATCAACATATGTTTGTTTAATGGTTTTAAGTCAAACTGTCAGTGTGAGATTGTGAAAAGTGCTTCAAAAAAGAAAACTGGTCAACTATCTAGTAGACCGGAAGTGTGCTTTACAATGCATCATAGAACAATTATTTAATAAGTTGTATCTTTTCAAAGCGAACCCGGATCGCGTTGTATTCCATTCTTTAACTTTCAGCTTCTCTTACGGTCAATATTGAACTTCGATGTTTAAATATTGACAATAGAAAGTTTACTCGTGTAAACAAACATTAAAAATATTTTTTGAAAGACACATTGTGTTGAAACCTGGCTTTAAGTCGTGTAATTGAGTTGTACTTCTCAAATCTCAGTTTGACAACAATTCGTTTGTTCAACAGATCTGGAATAATGGAAACCGAGAGACCAGAATGTCGCTTCATGATTAAGATATAAATGTGCAGTCCTGTCGGACTTTTTTATGTTTCAACTTTAAATTTTGTATTATTTACTAATAATCGACTATTTGGATACCATTGATTTTGTGTGCAAGTAGAATTTTTATACGCAATAAGTGCAACAGTGAGTTAAAAAAAGATTTTTCATTTTCTGACAGAGGAAACTACCGTGAAAAATCATGCCACAAACATTAAATAAAAGAATCGTTCTAGAAAACAAGTTGATGCCATGTGGAAAAGGCTCTGCTAGGAATGCTTTGTGGAAGCTGGACTTTGAAACTCGGAGACGGGCTATGAAATTAAACGAGCAACAAGAGCAACGCCTATCACTTTTGTGCAAAATTCTGGATCGCCAGAAAAACTACAACGAGGCAAAAGCAAATCGTGCAATGGAGGAAGTAGTTGAGAGGGGTGTAGAGTTAGAACAAGAGTGTAAAATTCGGCGGTTATTGGTAGAGAGAAATCTAACGGACACTGAAACAAACAGAGCAGTTGTGGAAAGATTAGCACGTCGACGTCAACAGCACATACTGCCTCCCATCAAAAACAATATTCCCGAAAACAATGACGATCACGTTTGGGTCAGTCGAATGCCAGGAAAAACACGTAGTGAAGAACATAAAAACAGAAATGTGACTTTTGATATCAATTCGAAAAGCAAAGAAACGCAAGGTTTTTCTCAAAGACTTTCTGCACCACCGGAGCAAGTGTTTGAAGTTTCCTTGGAAACTGGGGCCACTCAAAGGTGGCACGTACCAGTGCAATCCCTCTTCTCTAGATTTACAGCAAATCTTCGATCCTCTCATTATACAAAATCTGTTCGATCGGAGAAAAACATAACTACCAAAATCTGAAAATCCAAAGCTATGCGTTTTGAAATTAAAATAATGTATAAATTGTGCAATTTAAAAGACAACAATATAGTTTTGTCCTTGTTACTGGAATAGACGATGAGAATGATTGTATATTTTTGTAATTATTACCGCTTTTCCCAATGTAGTAATAATTAGGAATCCGAACTATCATATTCCAAAATGAAATCGTGACTTCTTGCTTTTTGAGATTTTATGCATTATCAAACAAATCTGTATGTAATACAAAGTATTGGATCGAGATTTCTGTACCTTTGAATCTACACTTTAATTTAAGTGCTAAAGATGGTATTTTTACTAGTAACAGACGTCACATGAAGAGGTAGTTTGAACTTGTGGCAAAAATGATGCTTAATTGTATTATGTAAAATAATATGTCTTTCAAAGTTTGTAATTTATAATAATTATAATGATTCACACAAGATTACGAAGTACTTACTCGTATGTCTTCTTGTGTTTTAATTTAAACAATGTACATGTACAAACATATAAATATTTTCAAAATAGATTATGGTGCATTGATTGATTGATTGTTGTTTATCGTCCTTCTCGAGAATATTTTACTCATATGAAGACGTCACCACTTGCCGATGGAGACCTGCGAATTTTGTTCTATACTCGGTACTTTATACGGCCATTCAGCAGGCAAGGATTTTTTTCGTGCCAGCGACACGGGACCTCGGTTTACACAGTCTCGTCCGAAGGGCTGTCTCCACGTCCCATATTCTCTTTAAAGAAAAGGACAGGCTTTCGCCTACATCCACGATATAGGATGTAGGCAAAAGTCTGTCCACTTCTTCAAAGAGAAAGTGGGATTCGAACCCTCGACATAAGGATAGTGAGTAAGAAAGTGGGAATAAGGTGATATGATTTCATACCTTAAAAAATCATTTTCTAATAAATTCTGCAATAGAAATGACTAAAAATATTCCCAGTTTTTGAGAGTTTAAGTAGATTTGAAGTTCAAATTTCAAGTTCGAAGTTCAAATTTCAAGTTCTAAGAATAGAACACTGAAGAACACAAAAGCGTAAAAGATAGTCTAACTTTGCAGTTCAGTATTTTTTGCACTGTATCAAAATCATTACATTGAAATTCAAGAAGCCAAGTTGACGTCATAACGTCATATGCAGTGTTATTTTTCTGAAGAAAAAATGGCGTGAGACATTTCTTACCAGTTTTTGTAAGCATCATGGAATCCGGATAGGGCCACGCACTTCACTTTCGCACCATCGTCAACTTTTGGCGCGATAAGCGATGGCGCGATAACGATGAAACGGTGGTGCGATAACGATGAAGCGATGATGCGATAGCGCGATGACGATGATGCTATGGCGCGATAATGCGATGGCGATGGTGCGATAGCACAATTGAGCGATAGTGAATATCGCTTCATCGTCATCGTACTATCGCACCATCGTCATCGCATCATCGTGTCATCACTATCGCACCATTGCGTCATCGTACCATCGCACCATCGTCATCGCATTGTCGCGCCATAGCATCATCGTCATCGTGCTATCGCACCATCACTTCATCGCTATCGCACCATCGCCTCATCGTCATCGCATTATCTCTTCATCGCACTATCGACCTAAACCTCGATGGTGCGATGATGCGATAGTGAACTGCGTGGCCCTATCCGGATTCCATATGCAGCGGTTGAAAAATTCTGTTTGATAGAGCAAGTCGAGGAATTTTAGATTTTTTCAGATTAAACAATTATTGCTCTTCGTGCTAGTTGATTTTTATATTTTTGTTTCAAATGAAACACATGGAGATAACGAATAGTATTCAAGATCAAAAGTCCATAAAACTTTACAAAATAGGAGCAGAGCAAACACGGACCTCCAAAACATCAGAGATGGGATCATGTGCCATGAAGGAGTGAGCATCCCCTGCCGACCGGTCACCCCCGCCGTGTGCTCCTTGTCATGATCGGGAAATAACGGAAAAATCCATCGTCAATTCATTGTTTAAACAAAGGACTTTCAATTATAGTACGAAAAACGTCAGTCAGCATTTAACTCAATGACAAATTGTATTTGCTGACAAGGTCATTGTATCGACTATAAAACTTACACAATGATGACTTTAAATGAGACTGCTGATATTCTTGTTTCATCAACTTGTTAGTCAATAATTTACATAGTTTAAGAAATTTTCATACGTTTCATGCTCTTGATGCGTATCGAATCAACTGAGATATGTAAACTCCGTATGCAGGTGATGAAGGTATATTGCTGCATAAGTAAGGGGAGTTGACGATAGAAAAGTTAAAGTCATCACGTTTATCATAGAGCTTGGTTATTAGATTACCATTAAAGTCTTTTTCAAGTAAAATATCAATACATGAAACAGATGCATCAGACTCTGTGGTATCTTTTATCTCAAGCTCAGTGGGATCGTATCGACATAAGAATGGAAATAACCATTGTTAATTGACAAAACTTTTCAAACAATTATTACCCAAACCTTTACTTTGGAGCAATGAAATTTTGGTATTCCTACATTGCAGACTTGCGTGAATTTTAAAACAATTTTTGGTAGGGAATTTTATGTAGTAATTGATATATGCCTAAATATTTACGTTCAATTTTGGTTCAATTTAGCAGTGGAATTTTAAAATAGAATAGAGGCTGGAAGATATCACAGTTAATCTGTTGAGAATCGAATTTGCACCACTTGATCTAGAAATAATGTAGAAGACGAAATTTTTTTTTATTGCTCTGTCCTTTGTACTCTGAATGCATATCAAATTTTTTTGTTGAAAATACCGGTTTTAACCAAATGTAAGCATGGTCTGAAACTGACTACGTATACTTATTTCAATTTATCCTCGATACACGTAGGTTGCAAAGTATTTGGGTTTTTGTTTTTTTTACATAAATTTTTCTTTTTTTTTCATCGTCAAGTTTGAAATGTTTCGTTCCTGTAAGCACCCTTTTTAAGGACCCAAAATTCTAAATTAAAATTATGTAATGAATATATTTATTGCCTTTGTTGCGATTATTTCCATAGACCTAAAGTCTGCTTAAGATCTATATTATTTCCTATCATCATACGAATAGAGAATTCATTATCATAGTTCGCCGCGTTTCTTGACTTGCGATAAAAGGTCATTTTCACTGATAATAACTCTAATTACATTGTAAAACGTAGTATGCTTAGGATATCGTATTAAACAATTGTCAAAATATTCCTAAAAACCTCAATTTGTACTGTGATAGCTGTTCTTTACAATTATTTATTTATTAACAAAGGAAGGGGTTGAATCCACCTGAACTTATTCCGGATACCACGGGACTAAACGAGATTGGTTTTAGATGGTTTTTAAAGTTTATAGTTCCTGTTGTATATCGCATAAAATTTTCCAACGTGTGTGCTTGGTCGTTAATAAAACTGTACTTTTGCTCGCTTTATCAACTTAGATGTTGTATACTACTGATGGAGCGAATGGATGGTGAACTACTGGAATGTAGGGATGTCAGGCTTTTTGCGGAATATAAACAGACAATGGGATACTTCAACATTTATCTTTCATCTCACAGGTAAACACTGTAGTCTGCATTCTCTTTAGAGAGGTGGACAGGCTTTTGCCTACATCCACTACTCTTCGCAAGCCTTCATGCTATTGGGCCATTCCAAGTTTTTTCTCTCTTCGGTGTCCACCCATCTTTCAAAAATCTAGCTTAGTATTCGCAAAAAAAAAAGAAGAAAAAACACACACACACACACCCTCAGGTAAAAAAATAAAATAAAACGCGGACTTTTAAAATAGTAAAGAAAATTGACGTAATTCAAAGGATATGGTTGTAGTTATCTATTTTTCATAAAGAAAGATATTTTCTCCAGCAAAATCAAGGTATTTATTAAACTATTCTAATAATGACATATTATACACATATCTAGAGACACTGGCAGAAACCACACATTTTGACCAGAAAAATCAATTTTCGAACTCTGATTGTTTATTCTGACATGGGGTGTCAAAAACCAAGGCACACATGGACATTAAACATAGAAAAAAAACTTGGAATAGCTTAATTAGTCTAGAAAATTTATAAATCTAGAACCAGAACTTAGTATTTTTTTATCTGATATTTGGTTCCATCCTAACCAGAAGTGGTGTTGTGTTAACTGAAATTGATCCACACATCATATGGAATGTTCTGTTTAACCAGCAAAACCTTGTTCTTCTTGCAAAGTTTATCAATATTTTTTTCTGTTTTTTGTTGTTGTTAATATTAGTACATGCATGTATATGCATTGTAAAATATGGTCCTCACCAAAGATCCATAATTTGAATTAAAAACTTGAACCCACACTACTTTGGAATGATGATTTAATAAGGCCCTGTTACTTTTAAATTCTTTTTAATTTCTAGTTAATTCCTTGAAAAAATCTCATCCCATACTAGCTTTTCCAATTCCACCTAAGGGGCTCTGGACTACATTAAGTCATGGCCCAGCATCTTGAATTTATTTTTTAAAGATTGTGACCTTTTTATTTCCATGTAAAACTGGTAGCTCTAATCCTTGTTTATGACTTTATTCTCTCTCAAAGGACCATGATTTATACAAATTGGAATTTGCACTACCTTGGAAATACTTATCTATAAGTACTCGTATAATTAATCATGGGCCAGCATCTTGAGAAGTTTTTTCTTTAAGATTGCATGTATTTCCTAAAATATTCATATGCAAACCTTTGATCCCCTATTTGCAGTTATTTTGCAATCAAATGACTTTAAAGAAATTTTTAATCATAATGGCTAAAACTACGAATAGAAAATTATTTACTGAGGTCATTTATTACTCATATCATCTAAAAAGAGTATTCCCAGACAATGATGTGTGAATTTCAGTTTGATAGAGTGTTGGATCACAAATGTTAAATGTTATCCGTGATAACCATCCTCTATGAATGACTAAGACCTGTAACACACTGTACATTATAGATTCATTTTTTATCTCTATGGAATTAGACCTACTCATTTCTGAAGCCTACAATGTATATTTAGATGACGAATTTAGTTTCATTTTCATCCTAAATGAGAAAACATTATTATTAGTGTGTTCTCATGGGGATATAATAATATCTACTGACAATTGACTGTAGTGACAAGGGTATATATATATTTTTATATACGTTACTAAGCTCACCTTTTAACTGCTGAAGGCTCAAGTGAGCTTTTCTGATCAAAATTATATTTTTTTAGTCGTTTACTGTCGTCGTTGTTGTTGTCGTTGTCGTTAACTTTTCACATTTTCATCTTCTTCTCAAAAACCACAGGGTCAATTTCAACCAAACTTGGCACAAAGTATCCTTGGGTGAAGGGGATATATTATAGTTATGTTCTTTTGAAAAGAAGGGCCACGCCCTTTTCCAAGGGGAGATAATCATGAATTAGAGAAATATATTGGCATTTTTAAAAAATCTTCTTCTCAAGAACCACTGGGCCAGGAAAGATGAAACTCATGTAGAATCATCCTCAGGTAGTGTAGATTTAAGTTTGTTCAAGTCATGACCCCCGGGGGTAAGGCGGGGCCAAAATGGCCGATCAAAGTTTTACATAGGAATATATAGGAAAAATCTTTTAAAATCTTCTTCTCAAGAACCACTGGGCCAGGAAAAATGAAACTCATGTGGAATCATCCTCAGGTAGTGTAGATTCAAGTTTGTTCAAGTCATGATCCCCGGAGGTAGGAAAGGGCCAAAATGGCTTTTCATTCTTATCAAAGTTTTACATAGGAATATATAGGAAAAATCTTTAAAAATCTTCTTCTTAAGAACCACTGGGCCAGGAAAGATGAATCTCATGTGGAATCATCCTCAGGTAGTGTAGATTTAAGTTTGTTCATGTCATGACCCCCAGAGGTAGGGCGGGGCCAAAAACATCTTGTCATTAATACAACATTTTCTCACTATACTAATGAAACGTGGGAAAATATAATAGTTTTTTAGCTTATCTAAGCTCAAAGTTCAAGTCAGCTATTTTGGTATAAATGTATCATCTGTCTGTATGTTCTCATTTTTTTTTGTAAAATTTTTAATATATTTTTGTGTGAAATGCTATTAAAATATACAAGTAATATTAAACAAAAAATATTAACTTCATATCTGTGTCCATGCACCTTTAAGCTTTACTTTTCTTTTAGAATTACACAATTAGAAAACTACTGGTTTAAAGAAAGAGGGCGTACAAGGCAAGGGCAACCCCCACTCTGAGAAAATTCGAAGTTCACTTGTTCAGGGAAAAGTTAAATTTTACTTCATAAATTATGTTTTCAGTACTGTAATCTTCAACACGTTTGATTTATTTATTTTACTGAACGACTTGTTAATTGATACATGTAATCTAATGATTCTAATTTTAAAGTTGGCAGTTAAGCATATTTATTGGAAAACAGGTGTATTAGAGGTATTAAAAATGATTATTGAACATGAATGGGTCAATTTACATTCTTCATTAACGATTTAAATGACGAAAAAGTAAATGTAAAGTCTATTTCATGTTTCAAAAAATGTCAGAGTCTGAACCCAATCAAAAATTTTTGAAAAAAATATATGCTTCAACAAACTCTTTCATTCAATCCCACTGACACAAAACGAATATATTTATATATAGTGGTAAACGGTTCAGTCTTTGCGCCTAACCGTGGACTTTGGAGAGAGTTCGAATCAAGTGCAAGTTTTTTTTCTTTTCACATACCTTTAAAACGTGAGTGAAAAGTAAATTTTTTAACAATAATTTATTCATTAAAATAAAGGAAGCAATGTTTAAAAAGATGATACTGACAGTACGATTTTTTAAGAAAAAAAACTTTTCATGGGCATTTAGAATTGAGAAATGTCTTTTCTTTTAGCAGGGATTGTGCTCGCGTTACACGCCTTATTCAGTCTTTAATAAAATATTTATACCATTGCTCAAATATGTTTATTTTGATAGTTTTTTGAAGAATTTATAAGAAAATTAATAATTCCAGATTTTTCAAATACATGTATTTTTTCATGAACCAAATCTCATTCAATAATGCGAATTTACTCTTTTTTTCAGATTTTCTGAAAAATATCCCTGCGAAAGTGAAATTAATGTAGAAGACAATGTTATATCTGTATCAGATTCTGAATCATGTGTTACGTTCAAATTCAATGGTTTAAAGTTTGAATCATCAACATGCAGAAACTTAATGTATGAGAAAAAAGGAGAAATTTCATGTACATTGCAAGTTGAAAAACCCACCAGCGAGTTATTGACCGTGAAACAGAGAAATAACGCCTTACAAGAACAGTTTGTCCGAGAAATCAAAGCTAGTCAGAATAGATGTTATTGCAAATTATGTGGACAGAAGATTCTGAAAGATTCTTGGTAAGTGTCTAACTTTTAGAGTAATAATCTATTTCCTTTTCTGGATGAACTTCTAGATAATATATTTTGACACACGCGAATTTTCGTATTCCCCGTTTTACTTTTGGCAGCAGACGTCTAATTCATATTTTTCAAACGGATTCCTGGACCATGACAAATATATTTGAATTGGATGCATTTCAAACACTGATCTATAGTGCATTTCCTAATAGGATGACCACGGTGATGAAAGAGACGTAAGGAATGCGAATGCATCTGGTGTTCATTACAGAACTTAATTAAGTAAATTAACGACCAGGAAAACTTTTTTTTAAATTTATGCTTATATGTAGTTTAAATGTACATTTTCCTTGATGCAGATATTAAAATGCTTTATAAATTAATCTTAATTTTCAGCCACTTTTTACGTGTCTTGCCACTACCCTCTGAAAACTGGTCAGACTTTTCCGACATGTGGTTTTGTCATAATCATTCCCATTCTTCAACTCCCACCGACCAGGCTACTCTCACTGAACAGGCTGGTGAACAAAATGATATCTCAGATATTAAACTGAGACCCAAGTTAAAGGACTGCTTTGTAGCAGAGACTTACTTCATGATCTTGTCGGATCAAATACTGGAAGGAAATGTGAAAATTACCCAAGATGCCTTCATCCATTGTAATCGATGTAGGAATCTTCTTGGTGAAGTTAATAGAGAAGAAAATGGTAAATTGAAAACATTCTCTAAATTTTGGTTTTCATTCCGTGAAGTAATATTGAATCTATTAGTTTGTATACATATTGTATTACTCTTGATAATTCACAGGCATGTCGGGTAGAGGAAAGGTATTGAAATTCCTTAAGAGTTCCCTGCACTTTGTTACTGAGGATAACCCAATGATAAATGAAAAGGAGGTTATACAACATGGGTTTGTATTCAATCACTTGTGTCTTTGACTTTAATAATTCAGTTATATATTTGATATAACTTCTAGAGTCATTGATTATCATCAACTAAAAAGTGTACTTACTCTAATATTAAGCTTTTTATTGTTCAGAGACCGAGAAGTGGAAGGTATGTTTGCAAATCTTCTTATGGAAAATAGCCGACTTTATACAAGCTTCAGACTTTACCTTACCTCATCAACTGTTGGGAAAGAGTTTGACTGTTTGGTAAGTTATTAAGATGGATTTTGATTTTCTCCAATCTAATATTATCCTTGTGTATGACCTGCTCTGATAATTTTCTTTATAGAAGCTATTAAACGTTTTTCTGATACATCTGATAATCTGAGTATTTCATGTAGATTTGGATAATAGACCCCAAGCTGATGATATTTTATGGAAGCTCTCATTCCACAACTGAAGAAAACCTCATTCCAGTCGAAGTTGTAAAAGTTTTATTCAGAGCTCTTTTGACACCTGGAAACAAGTATAGTATTACGTGAAAATAATAATTTTTAACCAGGAAAAAAATTGCATGCTTCAATATAAAATTTGTAAAAATTAAAGTATTACTTTAAAAATAATAAATTATAACAGGAAAAAATTATGTTTCAGTCAAAATATATTGATGAGTAACATGTTAATATTGAAAGATCTGAAATTTATCGTATGAACACAGAACAATGTGTAGAATTTGAGATGCTAACAGTCTGTGTTCATTACAGCAGGGAAGAGGAGCGAACTTCCTGGAAGAAAGATAACTCTGTTCACATGATATCACTCCCCTACGCAAGCTGCCTCACTCTCTTAAAGATACTGATTGATAATGCAAAGAGCTTACCTTTAAAATGCAGAAAACACGACAAATTTAACGCAAGTTTTAAATACATTTTTCACAGTTTTAAGCTTTGTATAATTAAAATATCTAAATTTAAATTATTATCTTTTATAGATCTTTGATATTATTATTTGTAGCAGATCTAATTAATCATTTAGATACATATTTTTTGACAGGTGGGATTTTTGAGCTATCAACAGAAATAGAAACAGCTGTAAAAAGTGGAAAATGTTGATTATGTCCAGTACGCAGTACTCTGTTTACAATGTATTCTTATCTTGCTCTCAATGCTTAGTGAAAAAAGAATTGTCAAATTTATTCATTCAATAAATATCGATATTATTGTGGTGAACTATTTCATGTTTTGTTTTATAAAATTTCAAAATACGTAAGTTTTAATTTAAAAAAACGGCAGTTTATCTTGTTTGGGTATTATTTTGTTTCCGTTTATGGTAGGTGTCGAAGTGGCAAACTGCATTACTAAGTATGTTCATTCAAGTTTCTTCATACATTTTTTTTTTATTACAAAAGATGATTTTGTTTAATTTGCACTTTTCAGAGTAAAAATATCTAACAAAAATATTTTAAAACACTCTATCGAAAGTAAATAATGTGATGATTCTAAATTTATAACGCGAAAAAAGTTATGGACGTTTCCATCAGAAAGTTTGCTTTTTGAAAACAAAAACAAACAGCTAGTCTGTTATCAATTTTCTCTCGTTTTCATTCCTATCCAATATTTTTTTCAGTCTCTTCTTCATATAAATTTCCTAATTTTTCCAGCTATCGTGAGAGATATCTATTTTGTCGTCAGGAACTTTTATAATTCACAGTTAAAATAATGTCAAATACATGTATATTTTCTACCAGAAAATATACTCTCTGATTTTAACTTAAGTTCTGTGCAGAATTTCTAAATGCTGGTTAAAGCAATATGGGCTGCAAGTTTGATGTCGGAAATTTTTGTTGCAATATTGTAATTAACTATTTAAATGACAGAAAATTAGACATTTATAAACTTCTATTCTTTATATTTCAGACAGAAGAACTATTTATATTCTTTGATTGAAGCAACATTAAATTATTGTCGTCCTGTACAAGATTGATTTCTTATACAATACTATATACGAGGGGCGTTCAATAAATAATGTCATCAGGGCACGGAAAGAAACAAAAGTCGCTTTTCTATGATTTTGTCTTAATGATTTAACTAAAATATCCTCTTTTAGTTAAAAGATATGTCCGTAACATCTTTATTCAATTTCTAATTGTTTTTAGAACACAGTTTTGAGTATGACCCTTCGTATACTGGAAAATGGCAGATCCTATGATTTGCTGTACTTAATTTTTTCTTTCTGAAAGGTGTTTTCCTAAGTTTGGGAAATGAAACAAGTCAAAGATTGAAAGATCTGGCGAATATTGTTGATGTGACAAAACATTAACTTTCTGTTTACCCCAAAACTCCTTAATTCTTCCTGGCCTGTGGGTTTGGACGCTGTCAGGAAGAAATTTAATGTAGTGAATTCCTCATTCTGTTTCCTTCCTCTCATAAACCTTTCAATTTTTTGGCAAATATTTTGCTTACTAGACTCCTCCAGAAATTGAACTGCCCCCTATATATGTATTTGAACAACAAGACCGCTAATATTTAAGAAAATAGCGTATAAAACTGGTTTTGTGTTCTTGCAAATTTTTGCTCTTCTTAGGCCTTTGCAGTTTTGTCAGGTACATCTTATTCTAAATTTGTTTTGAGGGTTTAACGCAAAATGGATTCAATTTTCATGATCTGTTTGAATTTCAGAAAAAACGTGGATAAGAAAAATTTTTGATTTTTTAAAAATAATTGTTTAGATTTTCTACACGCTCTCGTTTTCACTTAAATTTATAAATATAGGGTGACATTTGAGTATTTAACTTTTACAATCAAATGTTTCTTTTAAACAGTGTGAACTACCCCCGATATGATGTCTATCAAATTTGCTATGTAAGTTAAAGTCAATAAAACATAATCTGTGATAATTTGTTGAATTATCGGTAATATACATTGGTTGTTGTATGTCCTTTTTGAAAAGAAGGGTACCCATTTTTGATGACCATTATGTAATTTTTGTTAAATGAAATCCACCTGTTCATGTATGTATGAAACAGACATAAGTTGCTGTAAATTTCACATATTTCGGTTAATATATTTTTGGTAAATTAACAAGTTTTACAGCAGCTTTAATGACGCGTTCAATTTTACTCTAATTTACTGATTCTTGACCATTCATTTTTAACGCAGTGTCTCGAGTAGCCATTGTTTTCCAGCTTCCCACAATAATATTATGCGATGAAAAGTGGTCATATAAACTGTTATCAATTCATTAAAGATTCAATTATTAGAAAAAGTCAAGCTTAATGTCATATGATTTCTATGTTGTATGTCATGGAGCTGATGACATTATTTATTGAACGCCCCTCGTACATTCCTTTGTAGAAATATTTCTTCTGAAAACAAAAATAATTCTTTATATCAATCTGATTAAAGATAATGGTTTACATTACATACAGATTTATCATAAAAGCATATTTTAACAGCAAAATTAATTTCTCCAAGATACAGCTCATATTGCTGTAAAATACTTATAGGGCGTATTTTTGTAATTTTCCTGTGACCATCTTAAATTATCTCGCCATTTTTGCAATATAAAATTGGTTATGCTTCTGCTATAGATACTGAACTTTGCTTTACTGTCTTAAAAATTCAGAACTGTGCTGAACTTACTTTGCAATGTTGAGGATAAGTTTATTTTATTTAATTGTTTTAGGACATTGATTACGTCTCTTCCTTTTATTCTTGACATAAACACACATTTCTTTTGGATTTGAATTGCAGCTTTACTCACGAACTTCATATTCATTATGTTTTTCCCACAAGAACAAGATACTTACAGTCATATAAATGAAGATCAAGCAGAGGAGAAATATAAATTTTATTCAGCTAATGTTTCAGAGAAAATCTTGCATATGGAATATCAAATACAGAGAACAATGATCAAAAATTGAATGAAAAAAAACTGCCCCAGAAAGACAAAAAGAATAGTTTTCATGTCAGTTTAGCAATAATTCCTTTGCTTCACACTGATGCCTTCAATATTTCAAAATTCCAAGGATGTGAAATTGTGCATTATTTTCATATGTACAAGTCTAACTCCAGAATCCCTGACCTTGAACCATGAATTTCAATAATTTGGTTAAGGATAACATGCTAATTACAATAAGACTTTGGCTGTTTGATGCCCAGAAGATCTCTTGGTATAATCTAGTACAATGAGATACAAAAGCGATCTTCTAGTCGGAACAATTAAAAATTTTTCCAAAATTTAAAATTGAATACTTTCAGTACATTTTCTGGAAAGGTAATTCGAAGTGCAATTTATATGCACATATCAACACTGAGAAAAACATTTATACTATACTTCATAGAAGGAAAGAACATTAACTTGTTCAACATATATATTGAATACATACAATCTGTATACAATGTACTTTATCACGAGTCAACAGATAAATGCATGAGTTTTAATTACTAAGGATAGACAATTGCTTGTTCTAAGAATTCTGACAGGTTATCGTTCATCATTGGATTCTTCGTTTTGTTCTTTGCACATTTCTAGATACTCATGAGTTAAGTTGTGACGTGTTATTATTCCCAGCAACTGAAGTTAAAAAAAGAAATTGTAAATAAAATAGGTATAATATCTAACATAAAATTCCTTTGTCTGTCTGACTGTCAGTTTCAATTATTTATAAAAAGCTTTAAAGACGTCTTCAGATCAGTTTCTCGTCTACTCTCTAGAAAACCAATTTACCATTTTTGAAATTGAAAGAAGCAAACATTTCCAGGGTGCAAAAGATACTTCTAAAAAAAAGACTAGTAAGAAATCAATATGTTAAATCAGAACTAAAGAGCAATATAACTTATATGCATTTAAGATAGGTATCATTTTTTCAGTAAGATTTTTTTTTAGTAAGATGTCCCTTAAAAAAAAAGAAATATATATTAGCTACAAAACTGCTCATACAAATGTTCCGTTTAAAAAATATCAAAAATAAAAAGGAATATTTTTAGCTCACCTGAGCCGAAGGCTCAAGTGAGCTTTTCTGATCACATTTTGTCCGTCCGTCCGTCTGTCTAGCTGTCCGTCTGTCTGTCCGTCTGTAAACTTTTCACATTTTCGACTTCTTCTCAAGAATCCTTGGGCCAATTTTGACTAAACTTGGTACAAAGCATCCTTCGGTGAAGGGGAATTTAAATTGTTAAAATAAAGGGCCAAGTTCCCTCACAAGGGGAGATAATCAAGAAAAGACAAAAATAGGGTGGGTTCATTAAAAAATCTTCTTCTCAAGAACCACTGGGCCAGAAAAGGTGAAACTTATGTGGAAGCATCCTGGTATAATGTAGATTCTAAATTGTTCAAATCATGACCCCCGGGGGAAGGGCGGGGCCACAATGGGGTATCAAAGTTTTACATAGAAATATATACGAAAAATCTTTGAAAATCTTCTTCTCAAGAACCACTGGGCCAAAAAAAGCTGAAACTTATGTGGAAGCATCCTGGTATAGTGTAGATTCTAAATTGTTCAAATCATGACCCCCATAGGGAGGGCGGGGCTACAATGGGGAATCTAAGTTTTACATAGAAATATATAGGAAAAATTTTCAAAGTGTCTAAATTATGATCAGTGGGGTAGGGTGGGGATGCATTATGTACAAGGGGGAAATCTGGTAAAGAATAGAATGGTCAAAGCTTCTCAGGTGAGCGATGTGGCCCATGGGCCTCTTGTTTCTGAATTCGACCGATCTTCTTCCGATGCTTTAACCTTGAAAAGTATTAAATTATAAACCAATGATAATGTTATAGTACACTTAATGATAAACAGAACAACTTAATTGTTCTCGAAACATAACCTTTGCAATATTAAAAATGTATAACGGAAACAAGCCTTCATCTTGCAGGGATCAACATGATTACTAGTACCTCGTTCTTGAGTTACACATTGTACATTTAGTTTCAGTAAGGTAAGAACAATAAATGCACTAGCTATTACAATGAATTAAACTACGTGCATACATTTCTCGAAGTAAATGAATATGTTAATAGAAGGTTTTTATCATCATATTACTAAATCATTTTTTAAAAGGCAAAATGAATCAAACTATGTCTAATTCATCCACAAGGGCCCCAAAACACGTGCAAATCATATATAAAATCTGACCAAAATTAAAAGATCTCTTCTCGAAGTCAGATGTATAATAATGATCTTATTCCGAAGGTAGAATGTTAACTTGAAAGACTTCATTACCTTTGTCGATTATATGTTGTTTTCTAGATGACTTATAATTAGTCTGGTTGCAGCGCAAGTGTTTCCTTACATTCTAATTTGATTTTCTATCAGAAAATAATCACACGTATCATACTTCTTTGCAGATAAACAACAATTACGAGCAAATTAACCAACTATGTAATACAGCGCAAAATCGCCTATTCACAACTTTTGTAACGTCTATATTCATTCTTTGATTAAAGATGATGAAATGACTGTGAATTCAATTTCAAAGAAATTTTCAAGGAACGAGAGGGTAAATTGGTGTTTTTTGTGATAACCTTCGTCTTGGCATAAAGGTTTAAAAGAAATATGAATTGACATGGTTTTACTAAGAAATGGGGAGATGAAATTGATCACATGTAATGTCGACGTATATTTTCAGACTTCCTTCCATTCATTTAATTTTTGCATATGAATGACAATAATGAGCAGTTATTTCTTGATAGAAATTCTGAATTTTTATTTCAAAACTCAGGTAGCGCTTTTAAATGAAGTTGACGTTTTACAAACAATACTATAAAGAAATTCTCTACTATAAATTTGAATTTCAGACTAAAAAATGTATCGGGAGTTAATGATACTGTTACTTTATTCTTGGATATTAACAAATTTAAAATTAACCTCGAACCTATTGCTTAATTTTGGGGCAAAGTTTACGTTTTTAATTGTGAATAGTATTTAAAAAATACCCATAGCAAATATAAGATACTGTTATTGCAAGTAATTATAACTAATTAAAAAAAAAATATGGGAGAAGAGTATCGTACGTATACATTTGATACTTAAATTTTAGCTTTACTCCTAACCTTTGTTTACAACTCTTGTAAACTCATGAGAACTCTAATTAACTTACTCATTTGAAAGTAACTGTCAATAAGATTTATTTAGATGTTTCAAAAGTTTGAGTGTCCCTAAAAATGTTTACTACAGATAACAAGAGGCCCAGGGGCCTTATAAGTCACCTGAGTATCGTGTAACAACTTTCAAACAATTAAAATTGGTTCATGTTTTACCCCAGAGGCCATGAAATTCACAATTCACAATTCTGAAAGACGCACCATTGCTTATCATAATTATAAACTTAGCATGCTTACTCTATTTACTTAATACCCAGAGGTAGATCAGAGTAACAAAGAGAAAATGCACTTCCACTTCAAAACCAGTTGTGCACCTCACCCCAAAGGAACCACTGATCCTGGGGCCACATATTTCAAAATTTTGCAAATTTTATCATAAAGAGCACATTTCAAAGCAATAATTTATTTTCAGACTATGTAACAGCCCCCCCTCCCCCCCCCCCCGACCCAGGGGGCATAAAAATAACCATTTTGTTAGATGCACCTTTCTTCATCATAAATACAGTACACAGTATATATATACTTGGATCACTGGCATAAAACCCAGGAGCAAAAGAAAAGATTTTCAAAGAATTAATGCATTTTCACTATATAATCAATAGAGCCCTGCCCTAATACCAGAACCCCCTGACCCTGGGGCCATAAAATTCACAATTTTGGAAGTGGCACTCTTGCTCAACATAACTATGTGCTTAGTTAGATTATTTAATACCCAGAAGCAGAGAAGACGATTTTCAAAGAATAAATGCATTTTCACCAAATAATCAATAGAGCCCCGCCCTAACACCAGAACCCCTGACCCTGGGGCCATAAAATTCACTATTTAGGAAACGGCACTCTTTCTCATCATAACTATGTATTAAGTTAGTTTATTTAATACCCAGAAGCAGAGAAGAAGAATTTCAAAGAATTAATGCATTTTCACTATAAGATCAATAGAGCCCCGCCCTAACACCACAACCCCTGACCCTAGCCGGAGCCATAAAATTCACAATTTTGGAAGTGGCACTCTTGCTCATCATAACTATGTACTTAGTTAGTTTATTTAATACCCAGAAGCAGAGAAGAAGATTTTCATAGAATTAATGCATTTTCACTATATGATCAATAGAGCCCCGCCCTAACACCAGAACCCCTGACCCTGGGGCCATGAAATTCATAATTTTGGAAGAGGTACTCTTGTTCAACATAACTATGTACTTAGTTAGTTTATTTATTACCCAGAAGCAGAGAAGAAGATTTTCAAAGAATTAATGCATTTTCACTATATGTCCAATAGAGCCATGAATTTCACAATTTTGGTAGAGGACTCAATGCTCATTACATTCATGCCAACAGTTTGCCTGCTTGATGTCCAGGAGTATAGAAGAAGATTTTTAAAGATTGCAATAAATTTGGTGGTTTTGGCCCCACCCCTCAGGCCCCAGGGGGGGGGGGGGGCAGGGACCATAAAATTCACAATTTTTGTTTCCCTTTACCCATAGATGTTGTATACCAAATTTGGTTGAAATTGGTTCAGTGGTTTCAGAGAAGAAGCTGAATATGTTCAAATGTTAACACACGACGGACGACGCATGACGGACGACGACGGACGAAAACGGATAGCAATAGGTCACCTGAGTTACTCAGGTGACCTAAAAACCAAACAATTTAAAACTTAATGTGTAATATCCCACTTATAAGAGAGATAACTTTCCGAAGAAATTATTCCAAGCAATTAAATGAATAATTGCCGTGCCAGAGTTTAATAATGAGAACATTTTCTAGTCAATTTATTCAAATATGAGCAATCGTGCAAATGTTGATTTTTATTTTTTTATTGCTAATATTTTCACGAATTTTGACACTTTCTATTTTTAAATACCTTTTATAATAATTAATTACATCGTTTTTACTTATCTGAGACAATTTTGTAACTTGCATTTGCATGTATGGTTAAATAAGTCGTACTTCATTAGAATTTTATAGATTTTACATTCCTATGTTAAACCCTGACCCTATTGTGACCCCACCCTTTCTTCTGGGGGTATAATTTGAACAAATATGTCAGGGAATTTTTTTTTTAGGTTTTATCGTATAATTTGCCCTTCAAGAGGGACATGACCTAAAAAAAAGCCATGACGTAGAAATGAACAGCTATTATGGGTAAATCACAATTCAGAAACTAATCACACAGGTAAAGAGAAAAACACAGCATGGAATAAAACTTCCTTCTTTGTTTCATGAAGGGAATTGTATTTGAAATCGTCTTCTCAAGACCAGCACATCTGTCACATAAACTAATGCCACATAAATTCAATACAGATATCCCTTTTTCTTGCCTGAATTAGTTGATATACGTGTACTAGTAAATGTGTACTTTAGAAGCCGTCATAATCTTTATTACGACACCACAATACAAACTTTCACCCTATATCACATTTGTTTGAAATCAAAATGATTTGCTATGCGACCTCTTTGAATTTAAGTCCAATTAGGAACTTATTAAATAAAATATTGTAAATCAAATTAGTGATGACATTTCTGTTCTAACTAAATGGTTTTTGTCTTACCGCTTGTCTCTCTGTGTTATCTAAAGACTTCCTTTCCTTTGATTATAATAAAAATTAACATCGGAATTATTTTCGCCACTAACTTATGTAACCTTAATGATTGTATTGATATAAACGTTAATTGTTTTAATATCATGATAAATGTTCAATATCGTTCCCCTCATCAATCCCAAACAGAAGGAATATGTTCCTAAATCAGACGGTTTCTTCCCACCAGTTTCTCTTGAACACTGACCGAGTTATTACAACACATATTTAATGTAGAAGTAAGATCAGCTCGATAATATCTACTTAATGTATTATGGAATCATAAGAAATATGCCGTGTAAAATTTTTCATCAATCTGACAAGGTGGCAATTGACAGTAAATTTGATAAAATTAAATTAAATTACAGTGTTATTAACAGAAATAAACATTAAATAAAATATGATGAAATATATGGAGATAACGAACAGTATTCAAGCTCAGAAGTCCATTAAACAATAAAAAAATTGGAGCAGAGCAAACGCGGACCTCCAAAACATCGGAAGTGGGATCAGGTGCCAAGAAGGAGTGAGCATCCCCTGCCGACCGGTCACACCCACCGTGTGCACCTTATCATGATCGGGAAATAATGGAAAAAATCCGTCAACTATTCATTGTGTAATTAATGGCCTAACAATAAGTATGAAAAACGTCAGTCAGCATTTGACTTAATGATAAGTTGTATTTACTGACAAGGTCATTGTATCGACCACAGAAATTGCGATATGACGTCATGATGCAAAACCATGAATTTACTCGATGGAGATAAATATGATTTTAATATGGTAGTTCTCTTATTATTTAGAAACTTTTATATGTACAAGTTCCTCCACCAAGTACAAATTCAAAATGAAAAGATGATATATGCAAGATTTTTTTTTACTATTTATGGACAATATAGTCTTAGAGAGAAGTCATGTCGAAAGTTTTTTTTAACATTGCGCATATTTTAACAAACGACATTTATTCAATAACATCTTTTAAAAAACAGTTGTTGTTGGAGCTGTGGAACTGTGTATTTTGTTAAATCTCTCATCCATACTTACTAGGCCTGTATAATCAACAACTGGAAGGTGCCGCAGACCCATACTTCTAAACAGATTAAACACCTGGGGCACAGGTGTATTGGGGTACACTGTATATGGACACGGATTCATGTATCCACTGATATCCTTTAAAAAAATGAAAGCTATGATTAGCAACGTTTTTCTGCCACTTGATTGCATATAATCAAAAGAACATAGATAGGCCGTAATCATCATTGATACATGTACCAGTGTCATTTTATTGAAGTATATTCAAACAAAATTATACAAATTTATACTAAGATAAAAAGTTCAAATCAAAATATTCTAGACAAAAAGAGTCTCCTTCTTGCAATTAATACATTGCAAAATATCTTTCTTTCTCATTATTTTTTATTCTAAACAAATTTAAATAAGGGATGCAAAACGAATAATATTCAACATCAGTGGACTGTTAGTTCCGTATTTGAGCATAAGATTATCAACCAAAATTCCAAAAATCCCTGAACAAACTCGAAACTATAAAATGGTAATATTAATATTCCAAAAACCAAGTAGCTGGCCTTTATTCGAACTCTATATCTATCATGAATTTTATTTTCACCGTAACATTTCCTCATTATTTAAAGTTAAAACGCAGGAGAGAACAGTGTTTGGATTGCTCTTCAAGCCTGTGTCCATATAATTCACCCAATTTGGTGCCGCGTGTTTATGCATGAGTACTCTGATATAGTATCTTGAAATCATACAAATATGGGATTGCACTGAAACCTTACCATAAGCGCGTCTTGTGGAATGGCAGAAAGCCCCGAGATATCGTGTATATCAGGATAACGCGGATAATCCTTTGTCAAATCTTCATAGGAAACGTCAGGTTGTGAGGTCCTCTACAATCAATAAAACACAGGGCAATTAAAAGGCAGTTATTGGTATTGCAATATGCATGTTATGATATTTATTTGATAGAAAGATATGTCTATAGGTTACTATGCAACAGATCATCGAGGGAAAGCATACCCTGTGACAATTTTCACCCCCTTGATTTCTAAATAAATGTATTCCTATACATTTTATGTATTTTTTTTTATCTTATTAATTTTTTTTTAATTTTATTTTTTAAAAAACCTTATGTTAAAATGAATACATCAATAAGTCAAATGCTGACCGACGTTTTTTTTTTATACTAATTGATAGGTTATTATAGAATAGAATAGAATTTATTACCAATCAGGGCCCATTGGGCATAAACATATAACATATATAATTACATATAAACATAATAAAGTAATAGACAGAATACAACATATTGTGAAGAGCAATTCTTCTATAGAGTATATATATACTGATATATGTTTTGGTGGTATTTTTAAGTTTCATATATAGACATGCATGATGGGTTGTTGTACAAAAAATGTGCATAAGTATTATTTATGGTATATATATATATACACACATATACGCACATATATATATATATATATATATATATATATATATATATATATATATATATATATATATATATATCAAAACACATAAAACTGTGTTTGAAACATCAACAAGAGGCAGAGGCAGCAAGAGTCGGTGATAAAGGATATACAGAATTCCACTTCTGCCCCATGTAGAATAAACAGACATAAAATTTATGGAGATAAATATATATTATATAAATAAATTGTACATAGATCCCATAGTTTTATGTTTTAGAGGTCCGTGTTGCTCTGCTACCGATTTTGTATGGTTTACATGGACTTCGGGCATGATTATTGTTCGTTATCTCAATATTTCATGAAATAAAAAGTAGGCAGACATCTCATTTTTTTTTTTAGTTTATTTTTATTGATGGTGTCAACTTGATTATTCTTTAAGTGGTAAATTATCTTTTATAGATTTTATAAATCAGAAAGCATACGGAGAAGTTCTACGTGATTAAAACTTGAAATAAATAATCAATGGAAATGCTAATTTCAGTGTAAAAATTCAGTCAAGGTGATAGCAGTTGTTTGGTTTGTGTTTTGCATGGTTTTTAAGCCATTGTAAAGATTTTGAAAGACAGACACTTTCTTTGTGCGTTAGCGTTTAGTATTAATTGCATGATTTTAATTTTGAAAGCATTCTGTATGTTTCAATCAAATGCATTTCATCATTTCTATGGTCGTTTTAAAAACCTTATTAGAAAATATAATCCATTATTGACTCGTTTTTTTAAAAATTCTGAATTTGGCTACGGAATGTTCCGTTTCCTTGATCAATACAAAAGGCTCAAAGTGGGATTGACTGGTGGCTAACTCCTCCATGGCACCCGATCCCACCTATAGATTTTTTGGGGGGACCCGTGTTTCACGCCCCTTTCACAATTTTTTTAATGTTTTTTTTACAATATAATTTTTTGATCGACGGCTGTTCGTTGTTTTAGCCTTTTTTCATAAGTTTTATCTAGTATAATTGATAAAAGATTTCAAATTTGAAGCTTAACGTTTCAATAAGCATTATTTTTATGTGCAATGTTTGCCTCTCTAGAGTTAACACAGAGGAAGCTTATTTTAAGTGTATTAAAAAGTCAAATTACTAGCAAAATTTTGAAAGAAAAACAAAGCGGTTATAAATTTAACGTGCAATGAAAATAATTTGACATTCAATAGTTCAACAATACGAATCCTACAAACTAGTAGATCAGTAATTTATTAATTTTGAATTATTTATTTATTATTATTATTTCAGCACACGTAGAAATATGATTTACAAGTCGGTTACTATGCCAAGTTTATAAATATCTGGAAGCACTTCAAGTGTAGGTATACATGTTGCTTCTCTGGCCAGGCCAGAGAGGCAGAAACAGACAATTATATTGGGTATCGAAGCTCTCAATTTGCAGATATCATATCAATTTGCAGACAATGTTGATTTTTTCCTACAGTTTAACTTTTATATCATTTCAGCACAAATTCATTTTCAAAAATGATGATATCTTTGTAAGGAGATTAAAGAAAATTAAATTTGACAATGAAAATATTTACTGTAAAATTGCGATATCATATCAATAAATTTTCCAATTTTGAACCTTCTTTTTCCAAACAAACCACCATGCCATATTCCTTTTAAATCAGTTATATAGCAAATAATTAATCTGAGTATGTGTGACATTTTTTTTAAGAAATACCATGTTCTAATTTTCAAAATATAAATCCCCCCACCCCACCTAAGATTTATCCTCTCAAGAATAAAATCGTGATATGACAACGAAAAAAAAGAAAAAAATTAGTAGGAGGAAACTATGTACATATTCCTATATAATGTGAAAATGATCGCAGATAAAACTATAAATTCTTGATAATATTGGATATCCCTACACGGCAATAATCTATTCTTTTACTCACTGTCACTCACGCGCTCACATCAGATCAAAACAGAGGCTTACGGTGATACGACTATTCACACGAAATGACGCGGACGACATCATTTGTTTCTACTTTAACACTTATTTTAGCAATTGTTTTGATGATTGAAGGAAATTGGTACGGCAAGAGAGGTAAGGATTTAATGAATTTTACCAAAAAAGTTTTTGAAGTGGAAATATTTTATAAGAATCAATTTTTTAAAGTTATTTTGGTATACTTGTTTAAAAAAATGGAGAAAGGCAGTGTTATATTGTCAGGTTAAGCACATTATTAATATCTGATTTTAATAAATACAAATATATATATATTAAAAACTGTTATATTTTGATTTAGAATACTACTTTTAAAATAAAGTGTGAGGTTTTAATTTTCTCTTGCGGTAATAAACATACAAAAAGAGGTAAAGAAAGTCAATTAGCAATATATGATTAAACGGGAAAAACTCTCCACTGTCGTTTTCAATCAAGGAAAATCTTTTCGACAAAATCCCCCAGGAATCATCATGTCAATTTCAATGGAATCTAATTCCACTAATTACATCAAAGTAAAAACAAAAAGATAGAAAGATGGAATTGCCAATGTTAATTACTGAAAACATATTGCTTTTGTCAAAATCTTTCAGAGAGAGAGGGGTGGGAAATCAAATCACCGAATATGCAATTATATTAGCAGTCTTTTTATTTATTTTTTTCTTTACCAAAAGCGTGAATTGACGGATTTTTACAACTTTATAAAATAAAGTTAACAAATAAATATTCAAAGATTTAAAAAAATAAATATAGATAAAATGATAACAAAAAGAATTATTTATGAACTCACTGTATCTGAAGAATATATTAGTAAGAAAATCCCAAATTTAACAAATAGTTTCGTTTTTACCAACAATTTTCGAATAATTTTGTCTTAATTGTCTTCGGACTTATATATCCACAGTTTAAAAATAATATATTCTACATAAACCATAAAAGAACTGCGAACGATAGTATTGTTCTCCCGCCTACCTCCAAGTCAATTTTCAAAAGTTAACATATTCGATGAATTTTTGATATATTTTATAGATAATTATATGGATTTTCATAAAACATTACATATTTGGGAAAAAAAAAAGAGATAACTCTAAAATTTTGGTAAAACGTGTTTTTCACTATAGAAATCAACGGAAAACGGAAAATATTTTTAAAACATCTTTCCCCCCGTGTCACAAAATTCCTTTTTACAGGTAATATGGAATGTTATTTCACAAATTCATACCAAAGCTTTTGTGTGACACGGGGGGGGGGGGGGCATATCTTTAATGACAAAAAACGATAAAAATGCTTATTTTCCACAATTTCAAAGCGATTTACAAAAACATTATATTTTATTGATATATTTATGTTTTATTTATTTGCCTAAAACATATATAAGGAACATATAATCATATCCAACTATTTCAAAATATGGTGATGTTTTTTCAAAGAGCTGGAATTATGGAAATTTACTGTTTAGCGCTGGTATAAGTCAATTCATCAATTACCATTGAACTGTTCTTACTACTAAACAAAGATTTTATGGCCAAATTGCTATTTATATTGAATTAAATGGTTCCAAAATGTAGGCGAGAATCGAGATTTAGCATCTGATTATTTCACATTAAGCGTAAAACAAATACCCGGATAACCCCACCTATTTCAAGGGATCATGACATAACGAAACTTAAATCAGTACAACATTGTAGTTTAAGGACAGATGATACAAACAAACTTTTGTTTAAAAAAATTGAAAATAACAACTTGGGTCGTTTTTTAATGAATAAAATGAATAAGTTTCACCGCGTAGTTTTTATTTATTTTAAAAATTGTAGAAAAATGGAATTTGAAGTGAAAAATATTTGTATAGAACAATAAGGATGGTTTCAGGAGGGTAGAATTTTGAACATAACAGAGGGTATACAATTTCTTTATATTCTAAAAATTTATTATTTGCATCATTTGCAATGAAATTAGGTCAACACGTATATACCAATCCAGGCATCCATTTTTTGTTTGTATCATCTGTCCTTGATTTAAATGTCTAACTAGACTCTCCTTTTATGGAGAATTTTAGAATTTAATTTTTGCATTCTTTATGTTCATAAACTTAAGCTTCACTCAAACCGTAAGGCCCATAAAAACAAGCTATTTCAGAGAATCCATGTCCCCCGCTGAAGAAGAAAAAAAAATAGAATGTGCTGACCCGGGAGGTGTAGGATTAAGGGGGGCACTTTAAGAAGGCTAGAGGGGCATAGGGAGTTATGGTATCAAATTCAATTTTAAAAAAAGCTCAAAAGCTTCTTGAGATATCCCCCATAAATGAAAGTTTTACACATACACGCACAGAGTGTATGAATAAACGACATTGACCTTTGACCTCAAAATCAATGGGGTCTTCCTTAGGTCATAGGGATTTGTGGTAAAAATGTCACTGGAAAAGCTCAAACGCTTATTGAGATATCAAGTGGAAACAAAAGC